AGAGGGGAGAGAGGGGAGAGAGGGGAGCCAAAGGTCATAATTGCTGCAACTAGTTCGCTATTATTGGACAGAGAGAGTGTGTCCAGTTTCTCCCTGTTGTAACCATGGCTGTGATGAACCCCTCAGAATAGCTCTGTGCGCGTGTCTGGTTATTTCCTCGGGAGAAGGTGCCAGAAGCTGGAGCCGGCAGGGACAGCAGGGAAAGGGCTCTCAGTTAGGAAGTGTTTGATTCGTTTCTCCCCGCGGCCTGGCAGGCGGAGGTTCCCACTTACTTGGTCCCTGGGTCGTCGTAGGAGGCCACCAGCACCAGTGTGCCATCTGGGATTTCTTTAAGGAATTTCACCAGGAGGTTAGGATCTGCGGGAGGAAGGAAAAATGGGGAGGCTGGTCATTTAGGGGAAAGACGGCTGGTCGTTCTCATCCTCTCCTGCTGCGCTAGTGGCCCAGGAACGCCCGGGCAGCCTGACACTGCTCCATCTGCACGGAGGGAGGGCACCCTCCTTCAGCTGGTGTGGGGTGGGTTCTGGAATCTGACGGTTCCCTCAGGCAGTTCTGATGTGCAGCTTCGATGAGAACCATGGTCTAAGGACCCTGGGGGTCTACCCCCCCAGGAGACCAAGCACAATCCTCTCCCAGAGCTCTGGGCTCTTTGTGCAGTGCCCACTGCCTGCTTCTACTCTGCTTAAGAGGCACCCAGCTCGTCTGAGCTGACTTTAGAGGGAGCATCCCTGGGCAACTCGGGTCACTGAGAGGGAACATTGGGCTCCTGTAACTCTCCAGCTTACAGCAAGGAGCAAGGCATCCTTTGAATCTCTAATGCCTGCCTGCACTCGCGAGATCTCTGTGTTTAACAGAGAGCAGGTGTGGCTGCTACTCCTGGGGAGGGAACAGCACGCAGCTCGTTTCAACGACACTGATTTTTTTTTCCATTGTGCTTATTTTTATGGTCACCTTCCCTGCATAAAAAAATGACAATGGCTTTCGACTTAGGGCAGTGATAAATTTTTCCTTAACATAAATTTATTTAGGTTAAAAAGAAGTGAGTGAGTCACGTAAAAGATCATACTAACGATGCAGATGGTGTTCTGGGTAGGCCGTGACTTGTACAGAGGGCTCTCGCACGGCAGAGGAAGTACTGGGCCAGACTGGCCTCGTGGGCCAAGTAGGGGCTACATCTGTCAAGCAAAGATGATTAACAGCCCAGCTCAGAGCATTTTTGTAAAGATCAAACATAATGATGACTTCTGGGCTTACAGTAAGTGCATTATAGTAGAATTACAATTATTAGAAGGACTGGCTACATAATTTTCAGGGCCCAGTGCAAAATGAAAATGTATGCCTTTTGTTAAGAAACTATTAATAATTTCAAGATGGCGAAGGCAGAGCATCCAACCAAAGTTTCTTCTAAGCAAGTGGCCCTCTGTGACTACCCTGCCCACTGGCTGCAGGCCCACGAAGCTGCCCTGGGTCTTATTATTTTGTGGGATCCCTTGCACTTAGGGGAAGAATCAGTCCCCCAAGCAAAGCCAGCCGCCAGCCTGTAGGGGTCCAGCCAGTGACCACGGCGGCTGTTAGGGAAATGGCCCTTGAGCTCTTGAGACACAAAGTGGGAGCTTTGTTACTTTGAACTGTCAGCAGATTCTGAGATCTGGCTCTGGTCTGGGATGCACAGTGGATGTTGAGAAAAATGAAGGGTGCCTGCCATTAATTATCTCCTCACTTTAAAAAGTCATCATCTTCTTTTGTCTCCCGTGGGAAGAGCCGACTTATTCTCAAAATGCTTCTGTTTCTGGTTCCCTATCAGCTGTGGTTATGTGCAAGTTCATAATAAAGTATTATAAAACTTGGTTTCATCTCTTAATTTTTTTCCTTTTCATTTGGATGATGAGCTCCTTGCTTCTGAATCACACGGATGGAGTGAGGGGAGGAGGGAAGGGAAGGGAGTCGGAGACTAAATGAGCTTCCCTGGGCTCCTCCGCCAGCCAGGTGGGGCTCCTCCCCCGACTCCTGCAGGTTATCACTGAATTCTCAGGTCCATCTTACCAAGTGGACACATGGTTACCTTCATTTTATAGATGATGAAACTGAGGTTCAAAAGGTGTCACCTGCCTCAGGTCACACAGCCTGGTGTCTCTGACTCCAGAGACTGGACCTTTTTCATAACCTGGCCCCAGGCCACCCCAGACATCTGCAGGGTCCTGGACAGAGAACAAATGATGACCCATGGCCTGCTCCACTCTCTTCTCACCTGTCCCTGGCTTTGTCCTTCCGCCAGGGGGCTGTGCCTGCCTGCACATGGACACCCCAGCTTTCCCGTCCAAGCTCTGTCCATCCCACCCTCCCCTCCAGCTGCAGCCACCCTCTGGCCATCCCTTGGTCTTACGGGTGTGTCTGCAGCATGGGGGGCACACCTGGAAGAGGTCTGCGTGGGCCCTGATGCAGGCTCCAGATCAGCACACCCTCTGGCCCTGCAGACCCTGTCCGTGAGGTGGGACTTGGCAGGAAGATGACCATCGTGGGAAGCCCTGAGCCCAGGACCGGATCCCAGCTCCTGTCTCTAAGGTGCTGCCACAGATCACCTTCCAAACACCCCCAGCTGGGACTTCCAGGCAGCAGATTCCCATTTCCCACATTTCAGCCCCCCTCCTTTATTTGCAAAGCCAAGAGGGCTTTCTCCTTTCTGTTGCCTGGTGATTTCTCCCCTCTTGGGCTCACAGGTTCAGGTGGGTGCAGCAAGGTAGATTTTCCTTGGAGATGGAGGCAAGGATGGGAGATTCAGGACAGAAAAAGCCAGCTGATTGGCAGCAGCAGGGTCCTTCCACTCTCTGGGGAGCTTCCCGGGTGAGTGGTCTTATGCTCAAGACCCTTGATGCCTGAGCCCAGAGCTGGCCCTGTGATTGCAGGGATATGGGAGGGAAACTGAGTCGAGCTGTGCTCTGAGAAGCAGGCTGAGCTCAGTTCATCTCTCCTGATGGAAGCCAGTCCTTACAGGGCCCAGAGCCCTGCTGTCTGCAAAGGGCGGCCCTGCTGCTTTTTCACTCCATGCTGAGGCTTCTGTGTCAAGGGAGGCTGAGTTGCCAGCTTCCACCACCACCTCATCTTCCAGCCGAGTCCCACCTCACAGATAGTGTCTGCAGGGCCAGAGGGTGTGCTGGCAACCCAGCCTCTCTCCACGTCTTGGGAAGATGTCTCTCTTCACTTCTTAGGGAGTGAATTCCTAAGGGGTGTCCATGTGCACAGAGAAACTCAGAAAGCTTGTCTGTGTAGACAGAAGACAAGACGACTGCAGAAATATGGAGAGAGCTTGGAGCCTCTGAGTTGTCCTTTCCGGGCCTTGGGAGATCTCGTTCTGTCCTTGGGCCTGATAGGGACACCGTGGCCTTAAAATAATATATCCTTTACCTAGCAGAGCAAACTGGGCCATATTCCTTTGTCCTTAGCATTTCAATGCACACATGCCTGGTCTTAGACTGCTAGCACCAGCATTTCTTTGCTCGAAGGTCTGCTCTGGGCCTCCAGATGCTCCTTTGCACCCTAGGGCAGGCCAGAGTATGGGAAGAGCCAAGGAATTAGGGGTAGGATCACCCCGGCTCCCTTGCCCCTTGGGGATGCCTCTGAGGCTTGTGCTTGACATTGGCTCTCAAGTTCCAATTGCCCGCAGTGTTTAATGGCTTGATAACGCTCTGCACTGGCCGCCTTCCTTTCCCTCTCACTCCCCGACTCCCTACTGACATTCTCTGAGATCAGCTCCTCCCACATAAAACATCACACTTTAATCCTTGTCTTGGCATCTGCATGGGGTAGAGCCCACTGACAGTAGAAAGGATTTCAAAGGCAGCAGGCTGACCCTCCACCCCCATCACGCCAGGAGCTCTCTTGCCAGAGGAAGGAGCTCAGCCCCCCCTCAACTTCGGTGCCAGCTAAGGTGCCTACCTCCAGAGTACATGTCGAAACTTCCGTGTCTCAGCACTGTTCCCTTGGTTCCTATAAGGGACAACAAAGCAGAGCTATTATTTGCTGTGATGTGTCATTTTGCAAAAAATGGCTACTCTTTAGTCTAAGGTCTAAAAATAGAATAATAGTGGAATAAAAGTAGCTCCTGTAGAAAGCAGGTAGGACTAAATTAACCAATAACCACTAGGCTGACCTGAGGGGTATAAATATGTAATGGTTGGGGGTCACTGGAGACAAATGGGATCCAACCAGTCTGGGTTTGTGTTCGACCTTCCTGCTTCCTAACACATGATTTAGCATTTGACCTCAATTTCTGCATCTGTACAATGGGCTGTGGGAACTAAATGAGATGTATTTAAAGTGGTAAGCATGCAAGATAAATTTTAGCTGCCAAACAGTAACTAAAAAAACTACAATCATCATTATTCTCACCCAAGTAGGAAACATGCAGTCCTTTAGCTCTTGAAGGCAAGAGGATCTGCAGTGGGCTGAGGTATATTCAGTGTCCTGTGTCCAGTAATCTGGATTGCGTTTGCGGGTTTTGTGAAGTGTTCAAATCCTACCTGGAGCGAGGTGTTCTGGAGGAAAGTCGCAGTTCTCACTCTTGGCCACTAGATGGGGGTGTTGCAGAGGGGATGACAGCTCAATTTTCGCCGTCACTCTCCCCCTCCCCCCAATTAAGTTTGTGGATTTCTGAAGAGGGTGGCGACAGGGACCTGGGCAGTGGCAGCTCTCTGGCCCTTTGGCTGGGTAGGGGTGGGCTCACACTGCAGCCCCTCTCCCTCTCTGACTTGGAGCTGCTAGTGTCTAAGACCCTCCAGGCACTTCACCTGGGGCTCTCAGAGGCAGGGTCTATGAAGAGGGTGAAACTGCTTTCGTGATTGTGTGCATTTGTGGATTTTTCTGGAACTAAGGAGAGGTGTAGTTTGAACATTTCTCGAAGGAATCTGTGCCATTTAAAAGGTTGAGAACCACCACCTTCAGCAGTCTATTGGTTGCTCTGCTCAGAGGCCCTGAGAGTGACTTGTTAGACTTCCCATGGTGGGCATGCAGGGGGCACTGCACACACGCTTGGAGGCTCTTCTAGTCTAGAGAGGTCATCTCGCTGGGTGATGAAGACCTGGAGTTGGCCAGATCCTGGTTCACATCTAGATGATTCTATTGGCTATGTATTCTGGGCAAGTTGCTCAGCCTCTTCGAGCCTTCATTTCTTACGTGGAGAATGAGGACACGGAGCATAGCTCCCCTCTAGCATCGTGATGAGGCTCAGTGAAACCGCACACAGTAAATGCTCCATAAATGTGAGCTCTTAGTGTTATCAGTGGTTGTTTTTTACCTTTGGGCTTTATGAGGGATGGAGAAGGAGGCCCCTGTCTGAGCCCATCTCATCAGAGAATATTCAGAGGTTTTCTCCTGTGATGGCCCATTTTGGGGAAGGGAAGCCCAGCAGGTTTCAGCCAGGTCAGCTGTGGCTGGAGCCCCTTCCTGCCCTCCTTCCGGCTGTGGGGATGGGTGGACACTGGGTGGGACAATCGATGTAAGTAGAGGCTGCTGCAGTCTTCTGGGTCTGTCATGCCCGGAGGGTGCAGGAGACCATCTGTGCTGCCTGCACGCCTTCCATACAGGAGGGGGCTGTCAGTGGACTGAGTCTGGCTTCCCTCTCCTTCTCAAGACTTTGAAGGAGGAGCAGCCCCCCTTCAGCTTCCTGCCTTTCCTGGCCCACAACTTTCCTGGGCTCCCCCGAAGTCAGCCAGGGTTGCCCTCTGACCCCTTCAGGCAAGGCTCCCTCTTTGTTCCAGCCTTTGACCTCTCCCTTGACCCAGCAGGATTTCCTGACAGGGGTAAAGGGCTCCTCTAGGAGCAAAGGTCAGGGTTCTAATCCTGCCCTGTCACTGCCTGTCCGTGTGGTCACGTGGTCCTGCACTGCACAAGCTTGACCTTTTCCCTCCTGAGCATCCCTGTGCCCTTTTCCCATCTGCCCTGATCTTTGTCCCAAGAAGTGGCTCCTGGATCCAGGGAAATGGCCCTTGTGCCCCATCTAAGAGCAGAAGGTAGACAGGAGGGGCTTGGCTGGGTGGGGCCAGACCACCTGATCCTTACTCGGCCCCTGTAACCCACTCCCTCCTGAAACGTGTGTTTCAGGCTTGGCCTGCAGTTGGCTTCCTGTTCATCACCTGCTGGAGATGCAGGGTCAGTGAGACTGTGGGCCTCCCCAGGGTGTCCCTGCTTCCAGCCTCCCTACTCCAAACTGGAAGGAGGTTTCTGGAAGGCAGGGCTGGGCCCTCAGGACCTGTTCAAAGCCTTTCTGAGGGTCCCTATTCCCTCTTTGCCTCAGGTCCACACTTCCTCTGGCCCTGCTGGCCTTCCCAGCCTCACCTCTCACCACTGCCTGCTTCCCTGCTGCAGCCAGAGAGACCCTGTGCAGACCCCAAACCCCTTTCCTCCCTCCTCCCTGAGCAGTGTTGCCCCTGCCTGGAAGGAGCCTCCCTCATTTCACTCCTGTCACCCTCTACTAGCCTTTAGGCCTCAGCTGACCATCACCTCCTGGAAGCCTCCCCGAGGACCCAGCTCTGTGTCCCGCTCCCAGTGCTGTTTCCTTCTCCTCCACATATGCTCACACACTGTGATTCTTTGTGAACTGCATGGGAGTTGTGGAGCCAGGATCTGTACTTCTAGTTCACAGCTGACACCCAGAGCCCCGTACAGGGCCTGACCCACAGTAGCTGCCATCAGTATTGCTGAATGAATGCATGAAGGGGTGCATTCAGTCTGTAGTCTCACGTTGTCCCCTGTGGTTTCATGTGTGTTGGTTTAAGCTGGGATGGCCTTGCAGGTGGGGCCGTGATTCGTAGGAGAAGGTGCCTGTGATTCCTGGGATAGGTGCACAGGCAGGTGACTGGCCAAGGCTGCGGGGAGGACTGGGTCTTTTAGACCTTTTGTCCCCACAGGCCAGCGAGGCTTTAGAGCATGGTGGGGGCCAGCTGGGGGTGGGTCAGGAACTCACCGTTCACCAGGGCAATGTTCAGACCTCTGCCCACATTGTTTTTCACGGGACTCATGATCCTGAAGCAGAAGAGGAAAAACAAAATACAACAGTTGGTCCCGAGTGTGGAATGAATACTCTGTTTGAGATGCTGGAACTCCGAGAGGGCCCACGTGGTGTGATGGAGAAGCATCAGGAAACATACGGAATAATCTGGGCCATCTGTTTTCTCCTGGGAGCGAGTGCTGGGCTGGATTCCCTCATGGCAGGTTTGGACCAGAACAGTCTGCTCAGGGAAGAGGGAGGGTCCCTGTCTAGGGTTCTGAGGTGTTAGGTGGGGCCAGCCCACCTCCTCAGGATGTGAGGAGGGCAGAGCCCAGAAAGTTGCTGCCCTGGCAGTGTCTGGGAGCCCCACGTGGAGCCCAGCTGTGTTCCTGCTGCTCAGCATCTGTACCCCTGTCCTCTGGTGTCCTTGGCAAAACCGTCCTTCTCTCTCTCAGGCCTGGACAAGCAGAGTATCCTGTGCCCCTGGTCACAGATTGGGCCAGTGTGGTCATGAGACCCAGGCCAGCCCATGAGCTCCCGTCTCGGGATTTCTGCAGGGTTAATTCAGATGGGAAAGCTCTCTTTCCACTGGGTACTAGACTGGGCGATCATGTCATCTGAGCTGGTGGCCTCCCTCTGTCACCACACGAAGTCCATTTTTAGCAGAGAAAACCAAAACTAATGACAGAGAAAAGCAGAGCTGAAGATGGTCTGAGAGGGAGCCCTGATGATATGCTTTGAACCCCTGGATTCAGCTACTCCTGAAGCCCACTGCCTCCTCTGGCCTTTTGGTATGTGAACCAATAAGTTCCTTGTATTGCCCAAGCGGGTTGGAGCTAGGTTCAGAATCTGGATTAAAACACCTGTCTTTGGCTTCTTTTTTAGGATGAACTTGCCTTTCCAGGGCCTTTACTGCCCAGAAAGACTGCTATACAGTCTTTCGCCTATACCTCGGTAGAAGCCCTGGCACCTGCTGCATCTCGGCTATGATGCCTGGATCTTGATCTCGAACACTCCCCAAAGGCACCCCCCCTCATAGGAAGCCCAGCAGCTTGGCTGTCAGACAGACCTGAGTTCAAATTCTGGGTAATGCTGTCTGTGCCTCAGTATCCTCATCTTTACAAAAGGGAAAATTATCGCTCAGCCTCTGGGAGTGCTGGGGGCATGAGGGAGATGAGGCTGTAATGTATCTAGCAAGGTGCTGGCAGACTCCCAAGGTGTTAGTGTTACTGTTTTTTGTGACTTACCCACCCAGAGTAAACGGAAGCCTGTGGAAGGCATAGGCTGTTCTCAGGGTCTGCCCTATGGCCCCGAACTTGCTAATGAATGAATGAAAGAAAAGACAAGACTGGAATCTTACATTTGGCCTTCAAAGCACATGGAGGGGCCCACGACGTTGGCGGCCCCGCTGCTGATTTTAAATGCAAAGAAGTTGGCTGAGCATGATTTGCTGAGTCCACACTTGGTCTTCACTACGACCGCTGTGGAGGGAATGAAACAGCTTTGGTGGAAGCAGCTTGGAAAGGGGCCCTGCAGGAGGGGGCAGGGCCAGGGGCAGGCTCAGGGCCCAGCTCAGGGGCCTCCTCCTGGAGACACCTTCCCTGACCACCTTAGTCTGCCGATTTGCTCCTTTCTGGGCTCTCGCAGTGCCTCAAACAACCCCATCAAAGACATGGAACACTTGCTGTGTGTCTGTCCACCTAGAATTCATTTTCAGGTTTCCCGCCACAGCCATGGCACCGGCTCCATGCAGGCCCTGGGTAACCGTGTGCGGAAGAGGGAGTGGTGGTGAATGACCAGTCGCTGTGATTAAGGGATTCTCTTGAGAACTTTCTCCTGGGACAGGGCAGCCTTTTGAGCTCACAGAAGCCCTGTTGACAAGCTCCTGGGGGCCCAGCATGGCAGGTGGGAGCAGCTCTCATTGGCTGGGCTCCCTTGGGCAAGTCTTAAGCCTCTTTGCACATCAGTTTGCTTCATCCAAGAAATGGGCTAACGATGGGGCCTCCCACACTGGGTTCTCGTGAGGGATAAATGAGCGCAGGTGAATGCTCAGTATATGCTAGCTATTCTTCTTATCACTCATTTACTGAGCATCTATTCTGGGCTGGACTCTGGGATTCAACCAGGCAGTCGGTTCTGGAATCTCCCTCTCGGTCCCTGGAACCCACTAAGCACTCAACATGTGGCCACTCTGATTACTGTGGTTGCTGTTAAGATCTGTGTTTTTTCCCTGTGGCCCTCCCCAGGCAAACCCAGGAGCCTGTGAACCGTGGGAGAGGCAGATGGGCCCCAAGCACAGAGATGTCACTTGTGCTTTCAGGCTGGCAGGTTCTAATTTGTATTAATGTGTGTTTTGTAACACCTCCTGACAGTGAGGAAGGTGCCATGAGGGAGGACTGGGTAAACAGGGAATTAGAGAACGTTCACCTGCAAAGGAAGAGCGGTGGTGGGGCCGCCTCGCTCTCCTCCAGCCCCCGTGCCAGGTGTCTGGCGGAGCTGTGTCAGCGCGTGCTGCGAGCAAACCCACAGGCTTCCTAATAGAAGCTGGCGCATGCCAGGGGCTTGCTGTGCGCTGGGCACTGTGGCAAGCACTTTATTATCTTGTTAAATCATCCCAATAACTCCTGTGCCTGGCACGTAGTAGGCCCTCAATAAATCTTCATTGGATGGACGCGTAGTGCGTTTGGGTGGGGCTGAGCCCGAGCTGGGAGGGACGATGTGGTCAGGGTGATTGGCATCTCCAGGGCTCTCACCAGGCTAGAGGGAGCTTGCGTGTGAATCGGGAAGAAGCACCCCTCTGGGGCGCACAGCCCACTCACACCAGGCCCGACGAGCCCGCGGCGCCTCTGAGTAGGTGAAGGCGCGCCTTCCTAGGAGTGGCTGTGGCCACACCAGGGCACACTGCTGGATTGTGGATCCCTGCGGGAGGGGGCAGTCCCGATGATCTGAACGCCTATCCCAGGGTTTCATCCCTCACCCCCGAGTTTCAGCAGACCTGCCTGATGGGTGTAGCCAGAGCTCCAACCAGGACATGTATCACCAGGGTGAAGCCAGGCAGAGACACCCGAGGGCTCTGGGGAGAGGGCCTGGAGCTGCCGGACCCGACTCCCCGGCAAAGGGGGCTGGTTGCGGGTGAGGCTGGAGGGGTCCACTTCTCCTGAGAGCCTTGGAGCACCACCCCGTCCACCTGCCCCCTCACAGAGAGGCCAGAGGTTCTCGTCTGTGCCAGAGGGCTTGTTCCAGACCTCAGGGACCAGCCTAGAGTTTGCTCAGAGTCCGATCAACTGTAGCTGAATCTGATAAACCTGATGTCAACAGGCTGGCTTAGCAGGCTTTTCCTGAATTGATTTTCTGACCATCCAACCTTCACAGCCAAACTACTGGATGAAGGGGATGATGCCCGGGGTCTCAGTCACTGGGAGGCAGGGAATTTGCTCTGTGAGTTTGGGCTTCAGAGGCTTCCTCAGCTGCCCAAGCCCCCTGGGAACCCCAGTGCTGTTGCTCAGAGCCTGGAGCTGAGCACTGGAGGTGGGGTGCAGTCAGGGGACTTGGGACTTCAGTCATCTGCTGTGTGACTTGCCAGAAATCTCTCCCTCTAGCTTTGCCAACTATAAAATGAGGGGGTTGGTTTAGATCAGATTTGTCAAATAGGTTTCCTCTTAAATGTCCATGGATCTACCATTAAAGGCTTAATGATAAAGGCTTGAGGCTACCTGTGGGCTTGGAGGGAAAGAGTGCTGGGATTGATTGGTGATGTCTACAGAGGGAGCGGGCAAGGCAGGAGGCAGCAGGTGTGCTTGGATGAGCCATCCCCGGAGCAGGTGATGTCTGAGTATTTGTTCAGTACCAAGACGTTGTTGTGACACTCTGTGTCTACTTCAGATGGGACTCAGGAGGCTTCGGTGAGATGAGGTTGTAGGTATAGGATCAATGGTTTGTGTTGATGTGTACTTTTGTTTTTCTCTGTCTGCAATCCCGCAGTGCGCGGGGACTCCCATGCCCTTCTCAGTCAGGTAAAGTCCCATTCCTGGAACTGCAGCCCCCTTCAGTTACCACCACGTTGAGGTGGGGGGGGGTGCCTGGAAGTGTTGCCTTTTGTAAGGAGGTGTTGAGAGGGTGGGCTCTGGAATAGACAGGGAGGTTGACTCCCACCCCACCACTTACACCTGCATTGCCTTGGCCAAGAGCTTTTACCTCTCTGAACCCAGATCCTCATCTATAAAGCAGGGATACTTACAGGACCTTCACAGGGTTGTGTGAGGATTGCGTGAGATGCCTATAAAATTCCGAATACAGCGTCTGTCACATAGTAGGCACTCTATCACTGTTATTATCATCATCGTAGCAGTTCCTCCCTTCCACCTCTGCTGCACCTCCAGAGCTGAGGTCATCGCTGAAGCCCTGTTCAGATGAGTCAGCACTCCTGCCCCCCCAGTGCTCTGTCCACTCCCACACTCACGTCCCCGACTCTACAGCCAAGGTCTCCACTGGAGCCCCAGCATTCCTGCCCCTAGGCCTTTGCACAGGCCAGTCCCTTCTCCACAGACACAGCTAGAAAGCCACCTCCTCCCTAAGACCTTCCCTGACCCCATTCCATTGGAAGAAGGTGGCCCTCCTGAAGCCCAGAACACTTTGTCCCACCTCTCTTGGCACATATGGCCCTTCTGCCCCAGTAGACAATCAACGTCCCCTCCTCTTTGCCTCTGGGGGCCCCTGTAGGGCCCGCCATGGCCCTGATACTTTGGAGCAGGAGCCATGAGCCGACCCTGGGGTCGCTGCAATGATGACGATAAGCGCAGCCCCCACACTTGGGGGTCCCAGCTGTGTCAGGGAGGGAGTCAGAGAAGGGAGGCTGGGCGGGGAGCAGCCCAGACTGCAGGGTGGGAGAGTGGGGAAGGGAGACTGCTGAGCCCTCCCTATGAGTCTGAATGACTGAGAAGGGGCCACAGGCTTGGAGGCTTCAGGAGGCACCATCAGGCCATGGCAAGAGAAAGCCGGGCAGACTCTGGAAAAGGAAGTTTTCTGGAACCTGCAAGGCCAAGAGCACAGACTCTGGGACATCTCAGTCTAAGGGAAACAGGGGGCTGAGTAGACACTCACGGTTCTCCTTGTGGACTGAACCTGTTGGAGAGAAGATAGAATGTGGTTAGTGAGAAGGTGCTTTGGGCCCCCCTGCAGGCTGGAGGCTGGGGCTGGGGAGTGGGAAGAAGGGAACTCAGAGTGGTGTTGGCCTGGCCAAGCGGAGTCCCCGTCCCGCGGCAGGTGCTGAAAGGAGCTGAAGTGCCATCTAGTCTGGGAGTCCTCCCTCACTAGCCACTGCCACATCTTCTCTCTCACACCCGTGTGCACACATGCACATATATACGTGCACACACACAAGCATGCACATACACTCACATGCACACTCATGTACATGTGCACACGCACACACACACACCACACAGAGGACTCTCTCACTGGACTTTGAGCCTGACCATGTGTGACCATGTGTGACTGTGTGTGAGTTTTCTCCTCGGGGGCTCCGTCTCCAGACTGCACAGCAGAGGCTGTCACCACCCCCTTCACGGGCTGTGAAGAAGATCCAAGGGAGATGATCCTGAGGGCTTAGCCTGGTGCCTGGAGCCCTGGCCTCAGGGAAGGGCAGGACTGTGGCTGTCACTGTTCAGCTGAGTCAAACTTCCCTTTCCTGACTCCCGTGGCACCGACTATCTGCACTGGGCTTCAGGTACATCCTCATATGGTATTTACACTGTGTGCTGCTTGTTTCTGTGGCTCTACGTCAGACCTCCTGCCATCCTGGCACTACATCCTAGAGGGCAGGGTCCCCAGTGGACACGGAAATGCCGGTGGTCCCAGGGATGGGGGGACACTCACACCAACACACCTTCCATTTGGCCCTTAGGAGGCTGACCCCTACCCCTGCCTCTAAGGCCCCAGCAGTAGCACATGACCCAGGCTGGGCCAGTCATAATCTTACATCCCTCTTGGGACGGAGCCCTCCTCTCGGGTGACATGTGGTGCCTGGGGGAGAAGGAAGTGTCTTTCAGCTATGCTGGAAGATAAGCATCTGGAGAGCTGGGAGCCACCATGTCTACCTTGGAGAGAAGCTGCCAATAGAATGAGGTTAAGTAGAACGAACAGAGTCCAGGGACACAGACTGATTCTGGGGGGTGCTGTGGGGGCCCCTCCATCCATAGCTAACTTAAGTCTGATGCTTTGGATGTTCTAATTACCTGCCTCAAAAGACATTCCATTTTGTTTAAACCACTTAGCGTTGGGTTTGTCACTCCCATTGAAAGAACCCCACCCAGTTTATCAGGTCAATCAGTTCTTTAATTGGCTCTCTTTCTGTGCCATGGACCCCTTTAGTGATTTGGAAAAGCCTAAGAACTCCCCTTGGAATAAATTTATTCCCACTTCTCCAGAGACACTCAGCACTTCTATTCTGCCAGACAGCAAGTTATTAAATGCATAAAATAAAACAGATTAAAAAGGAAAACAACTGTGTATCAATATAATAATAAAAACACTAAACAATGTTGTGTTATAGTAACACATGTGCTTCTATATTAATGCACTAAATAATCAGGTGGTGGGGTATGCACCCAGGTCAGGAGCCCCTGAAGTAATGAGGCTACCCCTTTCAGTGCCTGGACACTAGTGGATTTTGATGGCTGCTTTTCCCACTGGTTGCATTTCCTGCCATTGTAGGCATTTTGCAAGACTCTGGATCATCTTAATGCACCTCCATTTTTGTATACTCTGTAATTAAATCTGTTTGTCTCCCCAACTCAGATCATGAGCTGGGGCCACATGTTCCTTATTTTAGGGTCTTTGGGAGCTAACACAGAGGAATCTCTTGATGATCATTGGTTGGTGGTGTTGATTTGCCAAACCCCAGGCAGTGGAGTTCTGAGAGGGAAACAACCCTCCTTCAAACACTCCCCTCTCTCACTCCAAGCTGGGCTCTCTCCTCTAGAGGACGCCCTTGAGCTCTATGCCTGCTCTAAGCCTCCTACATTGACCTGGACCTGTCTCCTCCAAGGCCAGCAGCACAGCCAAGTCCACATCTAGTCAATAAAAGCAGTGCCCTGGGCCCAGGAACATGGTGGCCATCATGTATAAATCATCCTGATCTTGGTGTGGGCCATAATTGACAAGAAGCAGATGAAGTAAGGGCTCTCTGAGATTCCACTGTGGGGAGTTTGCATGAAAGGCAGGGTGACTGGCTTCTCACTGCTGTGAAGCCATGAGCTGCCCTGGGCCACTACAGATTATTATGTTTGACTATGTCAGTGGAGGTGGTTCTTTGTCTTTAAGGAGGACAAATCCAGAGTGATAAATTCCTTCCCTTTCTCTCCTTCCTCTGGAAGGATTTGGATCTGGGAGATCTGGGTTCCCATTCATGTTCTGACATCTAAAAGGGACATTGGGCAACTTTCTTAATCTCCCTGAGCTTCTCTTTTACTCAGACCACACAGAAAACCACAACATGAGGTGATGCATGAGTCCAAGCAACAAACATACCATGAATCACCCCATGGGGCATTTGTGCAGATTAAATGGGACTATGCATGTAAAGCAACTAGCATCCATCAGCCATCCATCACCCATCCACCCAGCCATTATCCTTCCATCCATCCTTCCTTCCTTCCTTCTATCCATCCATCCATTATCCTTCCATCATTCTTCCATCCATTCATCCATCTATCCATCATCCTTTAATCCATCATCTATCCATCCAT